GGGCATCATAGTATAACTGAAGAAACACAGAATGTATATAGATGTTCAACAAGCTTTAGGCATAGTACATCACAAGAGACAGGAACCTAAGCAGACAATAAATGACCAGCAGAGGGTTGTTGCAGATTAGAAATACTGATAAAAAATTAAACTGAAGGATAGAAATAATTGTCCAATTTTCAATATGTCAAAAGGTAATTTGCATTTTATGTATATGGATGTGTGTGTGTACACACACAAATATACCTATACACACATACACACACATACACACACGTGTGTATGTGTATAAAATGTATATTTTATATATAAAATATAAACTTTGTATGTATGTGGTTATGTATATAAATTATACGGAAAAGTAGTGACAAGTGGCTGACAAGTTTTGAGAAAGTATTATATTGTTAATCAAAACTGAGAAACTACAGAAAACATAAGTCTAGGTCTATGGTCAAGACAATGGGAATAAAGGGAATAAAACTTCTGAACAGTGTATGATGGTGGTTTAAAGAATAACTACAGTGCCATGATGACTAAGTAATTGAAAATAAAATAGCTAGATTTTCAGGAAAATGTAGAAAATCTTGGACAGATACTTATTACATAATGCAAAATCAAAACGTTGCTACGTAAGTGGCTAGATTGAGCCCAGGCAATGTTTAAATTGTCAGACCTATGGCCAAACATTTAGGTCAGGATGCAACAGTTCAGGGTTCTGCTTTTATACCTCCAGTGAACTCTCCTACGTTTTAGACATCTGAAAAACTTAAAGGAAAAAATTACTCAAATCAGTAGCTTCCTGAAAATCACAATCAAAATGAAGTTGTCAAAAAAAAGGCTACCAAGAATATGATAGTCATGCATAACTTCCTCCAGGGAAGACAGATTGCCACAAATAATAAAGGACTTCATGATGAATAGCTATTAACAAAATTTTCCCTTTTCATTTTTCCTTACACTTTTTCTGTGATGTATGATTCTACTGTTGTAGTTTTTGGTGACAGCCAGAGACAAACACAGCCTCTGTAGCTAACCTGAGACAGTTCACACACTGGAGATACAGGCACCAAACATTTCTGTTTTTCAAACAAGAAAGCCCATCAATACAAACGGATAGCTTTTAAGAGAAGAATTTCAGAATATACTTCAATGATTGATTGCTTTCCATCAACATGTTACAAGTATAATTTTCTTGAAATGCTTCAGTCCAACAACCTTAAAATGTATGTTGGCTCCTAAAATGATGTCTACTGACCCAGATATAAATGAAACGTTAGATGAAGGTTGGTGCAAGTGTTGTACTAAACATGAAGACTGGGAGTGATGTGTGGTGAGTAGACAGAGTAAAATAGAAATAGGCCAGTCTCTCAAACATTTACAATATATGATGTTACCATGCTACCAGTCATTGCCCATTTCAAATATGTGGAAAGATATACTGACATAATTTTGTAGGTAATTATGAAATAATGATTTTCTCAGATAAATTCAAGCACAGGCGAGAAGCAATATTGCAAACTGTCACAAATTTTAGCTCAGATCACATTAGAAAATATTTTTATTTTTGCCTTATCAATTAAACTGATTTATAATAACCCTCATTGTGTGTGTGTGTGTGTGTGTGTGTGTGTGTGCGTGCGTGCGTGCGTGCGTGCGCGTGCATGCGTGTGCGAGTGAGTGATCTGGCATGACACTATACACATTTTTATAACTTCCAAAATCTTATTATGCCATCAAAGAAAAAACCCAGAGAATTCTAACAACTTTTTACCCATGATGACAGAGTTGCTTACACAGTACACTAAAGGTCATTCTAATTGTACTTTCAAACATCTAGAAGATTAACCACAGAAAGCAGACAATGACCAGTAAATCTATAAACTCATGCATTTCTGATTTACCTTTAACATCTCATTAAAATAATCTGATTATAGTGAAAAATGGGATCAGGCAATCGCTGCATTCCATTACAGTACATTGTTGTACAGAATTATTGACAAAGAATTAAGTTTTGAGATAGGACCAAATGGAATATTAATAAATTAAACAGACGACCAGGGATTAATGTAATTTCCTTCCAAATTTGGCAAATAATGTAATAATAAAACTATATGAACACGTCTTCTGCGAATAATTCTAGTCAATGTAATTCTTTTGAATAAAAGATAATACTTGAATGAAATGACTTGGGCAACTGAGACCCCTTGCACATGGTATAGTTATGGTGAGATTAAAGAGTTAATCGTGCCATAAGCAGTAACAGAACTACACATGCAGCAGATTTACAGCACCATAAAGAGGTAAACTAGCCACAAAGATATTCCACAAAACATATGGAACGCCTTTGTGGTTCATTTGCAAGACACCATAAATTGAACATGTAGCTCCGCAGGATCTGAGGCTGTCCCAGGACTGAAGCCAACAATCAGCTGACAACCCTAGGTCTCAAATCAGATGTCTGGTATGGCAGGAGGTGTAATGTTTAGGAGGGGCATAAAATTCCTTCAATCACAAACAAGTCATTGTTTTAATGTCTGCTAGGGGTAACAGTGTTTTCTGTGTAGTATCATTTTAGACTAAAGCTGGGTATTAGTACACTACAATTTATCTGAAAGATTTCAGTTACTACTAGTTACCTGATACAGAATGCGTGAATACAGTGCAGACATAAGGTAAAAAAGTCATTTTGATTTGAGGCATATTCCGGCTGATTAGAGTGACAGGATGCTGTAAGTGCATGAACAAACATTCACTTGGAGCAGTTTCAAAAGGAAAAGGGAAGCTGCTGTTCCAGAATGCACAGCAGCTGCTAAACTGTAACCGCTACATGCGCTCAAATCTGTAGTCATACAAGTGAGCTACCCTGTCCCAACTTTAGTCGCAGATGAAGCAGGGTTAAAGTTGGAGGAGTTTTGCTACATTGTATCGCTACAACCTTTACAGTTACAGTACAACACCTGCAACCTTGCCCAAAGCAGCATGCCTCTCTCTCCTTTTGAAACCACTCCAAGGTTTGTCTACACCAAAGATAAATTAATTCAGCAAAGAAAAATCATAATACGATTAATTTCTTAACATCCGGACTTAAATTCCAATCTAGTAGGTGGTATTTCCTAAAGTTACAAACAGGCCACCAAATGAGAGCATTAAACACTTCTCAGCTTATTTGTGAAAAGAAAAATTAAATGCAATATCGGTACTTGTCCTTTGAGTCTTATCTTGAACAGCTAAGAGTAGATATTGTTATAGACCACATTTTTTGACAGACCTATGACAATTCACAAAGAATAAAGCAAGTTTATAGAGGAAAATGTATAGAGTAAAACCATGACCCCACTAAAGTCAATAGCAAAGCTCACTTTAAATTTAAAGGATCTGGGGATTACTAACAGTATTTTCAAGTTAATAAAGGGAGTAGACTCAACCACTAAGGAGACTATAAACGTTTGGGCAAGGACTCTCTTGAATTATGCCTTCAAATAAATACCTAACATAACCAGGCCCAACTTAGTGCATGCATAATGCTAATAAGTAAGAACAAAGATAATGAATAGCACTCAGAAACATTGAAGATACAATACTTCTAGGTATGACTATACTTCTTCGTATTACTTCCAACTAATCAAATTCCTTGATGAACTTATATGATGGTAGTTGAGAATATATACCCCTACCAACAATTAATTTAATACTGGGGAAAACAAGCAGATCCTTTTTTCCTTCCTTAGTATAAAAATGTCTGGGAAAAAAAAGATAATGTAGTCAAAGGGAGTTATTTCATTTGTGCAAGTATGACAGAAGAGGCTGTGTGTCCACCTGTAGCTCCAAATTTACTTTGAAAGGTAAAACCATCATAGTTATCCTAAAGTTACTGATACCTCTCTCCGTCGAGAAGCCCAACAGGTTTGTTTGATTTTCCAAACGACGGCAGCTACCAGCAGTAGGGACAAGAAGCAACTGCAATTACAGAAGAAAAAAAGGAAAATAATAACGATCAAATTACTTTCTATAAGTGCTCTGTAAAATAATTCTCTCTTTGATTAGGCAAAAAAGCTGAGGCAAGAAAGCTAAGCAGGTGCAGAAAACACAAAGATGTTGGAAAATATAATTCTGGCGCAATGATTGATAGCTGTCAATCATCTAGCTGTTGAGTGGAAAAAAAGGTGCACACCCAGAAGGCTATGTGTATCTGCATCAAGCACTATTGCTATCCTCACTAGAGCAGCGTAATCTCAATCTGAACCACAGTACAGTCACCAAACGTGTGTTGGGTATTTCAAGCTCAGCAGGCAAAAAAAGGAGGGGACAACCTGCTCTTAGAAAAATGAAGGATCTGGAAGAGGAAACTTCAGATGCCTCAAAACTCTTCTGATTTTGGCTAACAGTAAGTGGAAGGAATGCGGAAATTATACTTAGGCATAGCATTCATTATTGTGATGTCTTGAGTTGGCACGTGAGGCAGCTCTGGGTTCCTTTCTCCAGTATACCAAGTATTTCTGTTGCAGGAATAAAAATCACTTTAAACAACATTGCTGTTAGACTACTAAGGAAAAAAACTGCAAAAATCCCCTTGATTTGTGTAATATTTGAATGACTAACTCTCCATACTTCCTAACCATTAGTTGTTTTTCCTCCTTTTCCAGCTTTTCCACCCGTTTATATTTCTTCTTTCCATTTATAATTCTCGCCAGGGAGTTTTACGAAAGAAGCTCTGTTTAATCCTACCTTTTCCTAGTGAGGTTCTGCATGGTTAAAGAGGACAAAAGTCATTCTAAAAAGACATACCTACTATGAGATACCAGGACACCTTTTAATTGGTTTAGTCTTTATGAAAAACAGGGTTACTAGTTGCACCTAAGTGTTGTTAATAAAGACTTGTCTGTGTACAGTTTTTGCAACTGAATAATAGAAACTTTTTACTCTGTCAGTGCAATTACCCGTGCAATTAGTGCACATGAATAAACTTCAGAGCTTATTGCTCCAGAGTTTTTTTTGCTCCTGGGCTTGCCATTTGAACATGCATCTGGGAGCAATGAACTCCAGAGCTGATATTCACCCAAAATATACCCTCACCACCACTATTTTGCAAACTTGAGTGAAATGAAGAGTTGGAATAGCTGTCCTTAGGGCAAGAGTCCCCATAAATTCAACTTTTATTCTCCCTTCCAAGATTGTTAGGTCAGGTGCTCATTATTAGCAAGTATGATGGACAACAGCCTGAAAGGATCTGGAATAAATACCCCAAATTTTTCAGATGCTGCAGGATACCAAGAAGTCAACTGCAAATTCAAATATTTCACAATAAAAAAACCCCAGTAAACACTGGCAACCTCAGTATGTCCAGAGGCTAAACAGCATAAACCAAGTTCTGCAAACATTTAATGAAATATGCAGGAGAAGAATTTTTATCAGCATTTTCTTTACTGAAAGTCCTTTTCATGAGAGCCATCTAAACACTTTTTATCAATTCCTTCATTGGACACCCCTGAGAGAGCCTGCCAGAGTGGTGCCAAAGCTCAGTATTGGGAAGTATATAACAAAGGTGGGTGGAACTCTCCTTAAGAAGGAGAGAAGTCAAGTAACTGAAACCAACAGCTAGGTTTTACTGCCTTGAGTCTGGCTGTACAGATTCAAGAAGGCTGATCAGCCTAAACTTGAAAGGGAAAAAAAAGTTAAAGTTTCTGGTCCTAAATGCAAAGCTCTACCTTCCTCTTAATAGCCAATGTCAACTACCAGCATGTCGTCTGAAGGTTCTTTAACCCTCTTTGGGGCTCAGGTGCTGGTATAGAAAAGAAAATATATACTCGCTCACTCCTTCTAGGACCACTTTTAAAAATTATACTGGGCTTTTATTGGATCCTGGCACAGTCACTTTGTATAGATAACTGACTTCTCAGAGGTTCTTACAGATGCGCAATAGCAGGACCAAAGGATTGGAACAGTTCAACATACTTCCAAATGATTTTTCCTACAAAAAGCTTTTGGTAGAAAGAGTAAATGAGCTTTAATAAAGGATGTAAGAGGGCAATGTACTAGTTCAGGAACCTGAGGGAATACAGAAGAGGCATTTCAACTCTCTGCTCTTTAATGAGTCTTAATGTAAATTATCTTTCTCCAAATGGTTCTTATTGAAGTGATAAAGCATTTTGTTAATATACTATTGTTGCTAACCAAGGATATTCTGTCAAAAGCTTTTCTGTGACAAAATCGCTTTATCTTGAGAGTCAACCTCTGATAGCAATGATAATACCATGAGTCACTATTGTAGAATGGAAACACATTTGCTAATGGAACCATTTAGTTCATGATTAAGGCTGACCCTTTCCTTTTTCTTTCTTTCATCATCATTATTTTTAAAATTTCCCAGTGGCCCCACCTCTATTTCTCAGTTGACATCAAGAATTAGCAGACGAGGTGTTACCACTAGGGACAGAGAAGAACAGAAAACTGTCCTGGGACAACACATGAAATAAAGGTAAATTGTTCCACTTGTTCTTTCCCTCCTCTCCTATTTATCCACCTCAGGGAAAAATGGGAGGCAGTAACACAGAGTCTCGTAGTGGCATTTAAGAGCACTGGTCCCCAACTTATGGCTTGCAGAGAACATGTTGCCTCTGAGATCAGCTACAATGCTTGTGGCCACAGGAAATTTTTTTAAAAGTCTTAGGTTGGCAGGGATAGCAATGCGTGACATTGCCTGCAGTGAATTACTGTTGTCCTGAGGCCAGCAAAGCTTGGGAGCCATTGCTTTAACGTAATGGGATTGAAACTCAAATCAATACAAGCAAGCACAAGTACCAGGGAATTAGGGCACAACAAAGATGACATCACAGGCTGGTCAGTAACCTGCATCTCAAGAGAGGATCCCATCCAAGTGGTCAGAGGCATAGTTTTTATAGAGGTGGGGCAAAATCTGAACATAGCTCCCAACCTATTTAGTATGTGGCCTATGGGGAGGGGGCATAACCTGTGTATTTTGTTCCAGGGAGAGCGCTTGCTTGATGGTGGGAAGGGATTTGGAGAACCTACCCTACACAGGGAGCATAAACTTAGGCATTTGGCAGGCTCTAAACAAACCTTGGACAATACTTCCTCCTACCTCTCTAAATCTATGATCCTACTACATTGCCAGGAACTGAACCTATTTCAAAGGAACTGCTCTCAGCCACCTCTCATCCAATCCATGTCCTGGCAGCAGACCTGAGGCCACTAAGATGAAAGTTTATACACAGCCTAATACAGGGCCTATGGGAATCAATGGAAAAATTACCACTTTGTTCTATGTTAAGATACATCAGACATTTGAGATCTCAAAAGATAAGAAGCTACCTTCCCTACCATCTATAAAGAAAACTTTCTTGCAGAGCCAGCCTTACAGGTGGACGATGTGGATGACCACCCAGGGCGCTGTGGTCAGGGGGGCACCCTCCCACACACATACAAGTGTGAGCAGCACTCTCCCCCTCCCACCCCATCCAATCTAATCCAATCCAATCCCCAGCCCTGGCAGGAGAAGCAGTGCCCAGCCCAACCTGCATCCTACCTCCAGCCACTGCTCAAGATGAGCCGGGCCAGGCAGGTGTCTGTGGGGTGGCTCCTGCTCCAGTCCACCCACCTTGCTTCCACACAGCGGGCAGTGGTGCTGGCTGGTGGGCAAGCAAATCTCCTAATACATACTTAAACTCAAAGACAGGGCTCCAAAATATAAGTTCACCCAGGGCGCCATTTTCCCCAAGGCTGGCCCGGGGTTCTTGTGCCTAGCTGTGCAGGGTCAAGAACAGAGTATGCATATCCCAATGACACTACCACAAACAATCATCACAACAAAGAAATTAGACATTACAGCAGTGCATGCTTTAATTAACATTTTGTAGAACCTCTTTTTTAAGGAAAAACAATGACTTTTAATGTTTAGTTTTCTTTTTTTTCATAGAAAACTACCAGGAGAGAGCCTTTGGACCTGCTATGATAATGAGAGTAAGACAGACATGGAAAATACATTTTGGCTGCTTACAGACATAAAAAAATGGTACTTTAAACTCAGCGCACCCCCGCACCAAGGCCAGCACATGCCCATAAGAGGCATTGTGTTAGTTTGACCCAGCTTGCTCAACATCTGTATAGATCAGAGCTTTAGCGGGACTTTTGGGGGGCTTTTATCTAATCAGCTGATTAAATCAGCTAAATCAGCTGATTAGATAGAAGTGCCAAAAAGCCCTTCTGAAGCATCCAATCTATACAGATCCTGTGGAGCCAGGGCAAACTAATGTGCTGCCTCTTCTGGTAAAGCGCTTTTTTTCTTCTTTTTTTTTTTTTTTTTTGGGGGGGGGGTGTCACATCTGTCACAGCCCTTGTCAAACCAACCTGTTTTTATTCTGTGATGAGATTAACAACCTCAGTTTATAAAGATAACAGCATAGATGTAATACATTTAAACTTCTGTAAACGGACGCCCTAGCATCACATAACATTCTGATTACAAATTAACACAATACAGTGTTGATAAAGGACATGTTAAATTAATTAAGAATTGGCTAACTGAGAGATCTAAAAAAAAACAGTTGCTAATTGGCACATTCTTGAATAGTGGTATTTCTAGAGGGGCTCCACAAAGTTCAGCACTAGGCAAGATGCTATTTTCATTTTCAATATTTTCATTGATGATTTGGAAGTAAATATGCAAGTGCTTCTAATAAAATTTGCAATGATGTAAAGACTGGCAGAATTGTAAATAATGAGGACAGAACAGCCATGCAGATTCAAACAACCTGATTTTAAATATAGGTGATGAAAAGCTATGTATCTAGGAACAAGAAGTGCAGTCCATACTTAGAGAATGGGGGAGTCACTTGGAAACAGTGACTCCAAAAAGGATTTGGCCTCATGTTGGACAGACAGCTCAGTGTATACACAAGAAGGACAAATGCAATTGTAATGCTGACAGTAATGAGTGGGAG